CACTCAACTATGAATCACAGTCATAGTCATAGTCATCAACCTAACCTCACTCGACTATGAATCATAGTCATAGTCATATCTATCAACCTAACCTCACACAACTATGAATCATAGTCATAGCCATCAACCAAATGAAAACAATAAAAAAATCCTTCTGGTCCAATAAAATGTTTATCATTTTTGTTTTTTTTCGGTACAATAATTCATACATATTTTTCTTAAATTCTTTATTCATGTTCGTAATTCCTTTTTATTCCACATTTTCATTCACCAAACAAACAAAACAAAAACAAAAACAAACGAAATTTGCATTTTAATTTAATTTATTTTGAATTCATCACACACCAACCAACCAAACAAACAAACAAACTCAAACAAACGCCAAATGATGAAAAAAAAAACTTTAAACAACTAAATTTTTTTATTCATTTTGACACACACACGAATATTCATAACAATTTTTCTACAAAACAACAGAGAGATATAGATCTTTCATTATAAATCTCCCCCCAAAAAACAAAAACATTCCGTTTTGTTTTGTTTTACATTTTTTTATTTGAATCTTTTTTTTATTACTTTTTCTGTTTCCAACATTTCTATTACCCCTGTTTTTATTTCTATTTATTCATCCATTGATTATTGGATGTTTTTTCTATCTTCTATGTGTGTATGAGTCCAGTTTTCAACCCAAGAGACATGGAAATGGAAACAAACAAAAAACAAGAAAACATTATCTATTTGGAAAATAATAATGAAGAGCTAAAATATTTTTACGTTTTTTTGCTTGAAAATTTAGCAAATTTAGAAATTTTACTTCAAAATTTAGCATTTGTCATTTCTGTTGTTGTTGTTGTTTTTTATTATTGATTTTTTCATCATCAACATAATCATGTCAATGTTATTGTTGACGATTTTTTCTAAACCGATTGATGATTTCGTGTTTGGAATAGAAATTTTCAATGGAAGTTCTCTCTCCTCTCATCATTTTTTGTTCACTTCCCACACTCTCGTACAAATATGAAATGAAAAAAACATTTAAAAAGTCAATAAAAAAAACATTGATGGAGAGAATTGGAAAATTTTTGAAAAAAAATAATAATTTAACTGTCACTTTTTTTCCCTATCAAAAATGATGATGATTATTATTGAAAAACTTTCCATTTTTTTTCCTATTCAACACACAGAATTTGACAGAATCGATATAAAATGAACAAATGTGTCAAATATAAATGAATAAATGATTGTCTATGCTAATAATAATCATTTATTTTGTCATTTTCTTAGTAAATTTTGTCTTTTTTCATTTTCAATAAGCACGAATAATGATGATGAGAAAGTTTCCATTTTTTTTCCAAATTATCATTATTATAATGGTGATTTGAACGTATTCGTCGTACAATCATCATTTCCTTTTTATATACACTAAATGTGACTTCATTTTACACACAAAGTTAGATTCAGGAAAAATCAATAGAATTTCCCTTTCAATCAATCAATTCCAAAATCCTTGAATTTTATTTCATTTTTTTACTGCAAAAAACGATATCAATAAAGTTTTAAATGTTCAAAAGTTCAACCAAACATTTAATGATGATGATCATGATAAACACACACTGAATTTATTACGGATAATAAAAATGAAAGAAAAGAAATTCTTATTATTAGATTCTTTTTTTGGATATCTGATTTTCCTGAAAAAAAGAATTTTTTTTTCCAAATTCTGTCATTTACAATTATGGTTCATCATCATTTTTTCCGATGTTTGTTTGCTCCAGAAATCATGATCATTATTTTTCTATATTTCTGTTCTTTCAATGTAAAAAAAATTGTAAAAAATGAAATAAATTTTCCATCAAAAAGAGGATATATACATGTATTTTTTAAGCCTTAAGAATATTATTGGGATTTTTTTGATTCAAGTGAAAACAAAACATGGAAAAATTTCCATCATTTTCACTCACTCACTCAATGGAAGATGCACGATGTGTAAATTATGTCAAAGATTTTTTTTTCTGAAATCTCAATTCTCATGTGGCCAGTCGTTTTATATTAATGTTTTTGTTCATCATCAACATTCAAGCCGCCATATATCAAAAGAAAAATGAAAAATGCAATGCAGTGAAGCTTGCTGTTAAGGGGCTAAATTTTTTTTTTCGATAAGCAAGATGGAAAAAGGTGAATGAATGGCAGTGAAGCGTACCGGTGAATATTATTATTTTTTTCTCGTTTTGAATTATGAAACAAATGCGAAAGAAAATGTATGTTTGTTTTGATCAAATATAGGTCATACAAGGTATATTATCAATTCGATCATTTCTGATTTCAAAAAAATGTTTTAATTTGATTTGATTAAAATGTAATTAAATTATTATTAACTGTTCGGATGATCTTTCTTTCTTATTTGGAAAAAAATTTGATTTCCAATAACCGATTTTTTATTATTGATTGATTTTGAAATCAATATTGAAACTTTGTATCATTTTCTCTTGTTGTTGTTGTTGTCAAAATCGATAAATAAATGGACGAAAAAAGAAAGAAAATTCATTAATAACATTAGAAATTGATATAATCCACACACACATACAATCGAATTGTATCAAAAACATTACTTTTGCTATGTTTTTATCTTTCATTCTTTTTTTAGTTGACGTGATTTGAATGCTAAGAATGTTTCCTTTTTTTCTCTTTTTTCTTCTTCGGTTGTCCAGTTAATAAGGATCAAAAAAATCAAAGAGAGAAGAAAAATCAGTCAAGTATTTCTCGCTCTCACTCTCATTCACTCTATTATTCTCAATTCCAGAATCAAGAATCAAGAAACAAAACAAACATTATTAAAGGAAACATAAACATAAACACACACACAAACACAACAAAATGTAGATACTCCAAATGGCCTCTCTTATCAAATATTTGTGTATTATTAATATTAGTTCATAACAATTGTAACAAACATTAAACAACAACAAAAAATAGACATATTTTCTTTTCTTTTATTCTTTATTCACACATTGGTTGGACATTAACAAACATTAATATTTTTTCTTGGTGACCCTATTTGATTATAATTTTTTCGTCTCTTAATCGGCTGGTCAAATTTGTAGTTGTAAAATTTTCATTCGATTTGTTTATCCAGTTTGTAATAAAGTTCGTCTAGAATCATTTTGATTTTACATTGATGAAAAAGTTATTCACGATTATCATAATGTTGTTTTTGGTGTTGGTGGTGGTCAATCAAGCGCAAATTCACCAATTTAATCTTATTCAATGGAATATTCAAAGTGACATCCAATTTCTTTCTTTTTTTAGTTATTTATTCAAAGTTATGCTCAATAAGTAAAAGAAATGTGTACATTTTCTTTCTTTTTTTATCACTAACTTTTTTTCATTCATCTTTCATATCTCTGGTGAATATTTATTCATCTTTCTCTCTCTCTCCTGGTATGTTATTCTCAATAGTGAATCTTTAGATGGAAAAAACCAACAAAAAATTCCTATTCGATTAGAGAATTTTGTTTTTATTTCGAAAAAAAACCATTCAGGCCAGTCAAATAATAAAGTCAACTGAGAAATAAATA